AAGGTGTATCAACGCCTAACCACGATGCTGTGCCCCTGAAGCGAATACAGAATGATAGTGACGTCCCCTGTAAATAAACAACACATTTAAAAACACAGAAAAGCAAACAGAATAAAGAAAAACTCTGAACATGGGCTAGAACTGTGAAAAAAGCAGAGACTTGTTGGCAGATAGAGACCCCGTGTCTGGCTGAGGCTCAGGTGGGCACTGGTACTTCGGGGGGGAGCTGCTGACAGGTCCGGGGGGGCACTGAGGAAGGGCAGAGGGTGACTCCGGTGTTTGGCCGTCTGCCAGGAGAGTGGATTTCTCATCACCCGCACAGGAAGAGCCATGGGGAGAGCAGGTGTTCTGTCTTTCATTTTGGGGGAGTCACACAGAACGAGAGCTCAGATTGGAGATGTTGAGGTTAAGGTTGTGATGCCTGTGAGACACTTGAGGACTTTGGGGGTGTCTGGTCCTCATAGACAGAGAATATTTAAGGTCAGGAGACCGGAGGACAACGCCCAGGGAGGGTGCAGGTATAAAGGCGGGGGGGGGGGACACAAAGACCCAGCCCAGGGCCTACCCACATGAATTGTCGGGATGGGGAGGACCAGCCAGGGACTGGGAGGCGCTGCTGTTCAGGTGGAAACAGGACAAGAGACTGAGGAGCTGCAGGTGGAGTTGGGAAGTGGACCCAGGCGGAGGGAGGACGGGTCCTGTCGAAGAAGAAGAGGTCTGGGAAATGACCCTGGGACCGAGCGAGCTGGAGGTGACTGCTCACCCTGACGGGAGCTCCGGGGAGTGCTGGGTGGACGCCTCCCGAGTGGGCGGAGAGTGGGCGGAGGTCACTGAGCGCAGCTGGTCCCGCTGCCTGTGACAGGGAAGGCGGGGTGCCTGGCAGGGCATGTGGGGTGAAGGGGCTGGGGGTGCGTGTTCAGGGGAGAGAAATGAGACCCCGGGAATGATCTAACACACGGACACACGAAGAACGTTGAGGGAAAGGAGAGGTTTGCTGCACCCATTCCCCGCGAGCTGAAGCGAGTCCACCTGGGATTTCTTTAGGCTGAGCACAGAGGGGTCACCCGCGGAGAGTTTGGAGTCGCTCCAAGTGCGCGCCCCTGCCTTGCAAGGGGGCTCAGGGCGAACCTCCGCGGTCCCCCGTCCTGTTGCCCTTCCCACCTCATCGGCTCCCCCCGTGGCTGCAAGCGTGCACGGACGTGTCCAGGGCTTCAGGGAAGTTGAGAACTTGAAGGCGGGGCTGTCAATCACTTTCAGAAAAGGTAGGTTTAAAAAATTAAGTCTCTAGTACAAAAATGGGTGAGGAGAAATTTACCTCCAACCCAACGCATTTCCTTCTGATAAAGTATATTAGTTGTAGACAATTAACTCCAATATCAAACCCAAGATACATTTATTAACGTTAGTGGTTAATATGCACTTAAAAGAAAGAAAGAAAGAAAGGTCTCTTTCTCCACAGGAAATTACACCATTTTTCTTTATCTCGTATTTTGTTAGTTCGACACAGGTATCGGGGGAATAAGAGATGCTAGAATAAAGAATTTAAGGGATGAAAATAACTCTGAAATATTCACAACCTATAATCTTGGTTAAAACAGACACTGTACCCAGTGAGGTTGTGGAATAAATTATCTGGAGACAGGAGACCTGGCGGAGCACAGTTTATAAAACCCAGGGGGACCCAGGGACAAACTTTGCTACTTGCTAACTTTGTCCTATTGATCAAGTTATTTAAACACCTTAAACCTCGGTTTCCTCATCTGTAAAATGGGAATGACGGTAAGTGTGAGATTTAAATTATTTAGTATGTGTAAAGCGCTTAAGACATGGGAACTTCCCATTACATGGGTGATTATGTAATGATGGTGGTGGTGGTATGATGTGAAGATGATGATGATGGTGATATTGTGATGATGGTCTTGATGTTGATGCTAATGATAATGATGGTGATGGTGGTGATGGCAGTGATGGTGGTAATGGTGATGATAGCTGTGATGGTGGTGATGATGATGGTGGTGATGATGGTGATGATGATGGTGATGGTGGTGATGATGGAGATGATGGTGTGATGATGATGGTGATGATGGTGATGATGATGGTGATGGTAGTGATGATGGAGGTGATGATGATGTGATTATGATGGTGATGGTGGTGACAGTGATGATAGTGATGATTGAGGTGATGGTGGTGATGATGAAGATGATGGTGATGATATGATATGAAGTGATGATAAAGATGACAAAAAGAAAAAGAGGAGGAGGTGGAGAAGAAGAAGAAGAAGGGGAAGGGGAAGAAGAAGGGGAAGAAGAGGAAGAAGAGGAGGAGGAAGAAGGAGGAGATGGTGCTGGTGGTAGGTGGTGACTCCCAAGTCTTCCACCAAGAAACCGTTCCGTTGCTTATTTACTCTGGACCCAGCCATCTGCCTGCTGCACTGTACTCATCCAATGAACAGGAGTTGAATGAATGAATATTCTGATAATTTCTAAAGCTCATCCCAGCTCCATATCCCTCAATAATCCTATGAGTGTAATCTTACCCTGGATCTTAACGTTTACACTTGTTGCATAAAAAGAACAAATGCTTTGTGGTATTTGTAAAAAAAAAAAAAAAAAAGGCAATTATAAAGCCCCAGTTACTCATTGCAAAGTCACTGCATTCGCCTGAAGTTATCACATCTTTCAGGAGCAGGAAGGACGGGACCGCCAGGAAGACAAAGAAGAGAGAGACGGGGGGAGGGCAGCTGGAAGCATTGTGGAAATTCTCTTACTCCCCAGATGGTGCCTCCTATCTTGGGGAGACCTGACACCTGGTTACTTCGTAGCAAAACTTCATGCTCAGTGTTGACCTTTGCAAAGAAAGAACCCTCCTAAGAAAACTCCCGGACACCAAAGACAGGTTTACGTAGAACTGCAGGGGGCTTTAATGCATATATTTACCCCGCCCAGACAGGCAGGGTAGTGTTTCTGCTGGGCCCAGGGCAGTGCTCAACGGTCTGCATTAACCCCCGACTCTGTGGCTATCCAGGAACTCTGCCTTGTTTGCTCCGGCCAGGAGACCGCACAGCTCCGGGCCGCTGGCTCACCCGCAGCAGGAAGGAGCTGGAGACGCAGCGTCCGACACGAGGGACCACTCAGTTCCTGCGGACACTCAGGTCCCCTGCGCCTCCCTTCTCGGCCTGCAAACCTGTTGTTTTGTCGTGTAGAAGGCTGACGAAGGGCAAGTCTGCGACTGTGGCACCTTCCTGAACATATGTATTATTTTAGTGTGTCCTGGTATCTTTCCGACCTGCACTGAACCGCATGACTCCGGTCCAGGGCTCAATGTCTCTGGACGCGTGTTTTATTCCTAGATTCTGCCCCTTCAACAATTTCCTCTCTTCCTCCTCCCGCCCTCCCTCCCTCCCTCCCTCCCTCCCTCCCTCCCTCCCTCCCTCCCTTCCTTCCTTCCCCTCTTTTTTCCTTCCTTTTCTTTCCTTCCCCTGCCGTCGCCCAGCTAACTGGGGCTCTCCCCTCCGGGGCCGAGCACAGACTGACACCTTAGTCTCACATGTCTCCAGGGGTCTCTGCCTTCTAATCAGTAAACTCCAGACCCCCCCTTAAGTCTGAGCTCATGCGCCGTCTTCGAACTGTCTGCTCGGGAAGATCGGGGTCACCCTGCTCCTCCCTCTGTGCCAGGGCTGCTGTCGGTGGCTCGTGGCTCTGTCTGCCGAACCGACTCCGCGCTCCTCCGAAGGCTGCCATCGCCAAGCCCAGGCCCAGGGCCGTGCGGCGGGCAAACACAGAGGGCAGGTGCTCAGGCTCCAGATCAAGGGGAAAATCACCCCTCAGCCACACACGCGAGTCCTGGACCCTCTCTCCATGGCCGGGGTTTCTGTCCGCCCCCCGAGGGGTGTCACAACACACTGCTCTCATCTGTGGACGATTCCCTGGGTGAAATCCCTTCTCTCCAAGAACCACCTGCTTCTTCCACTTTCCCGCAAGCGAATCTGAGGATCGGGGCGTAGACCTGACCCAGAGCGGACAGAGGGCAGGTCTGCCGGGCAGGAGCCGGGAGGCAGGGTAGCTGCTCGCTGGGTTGTGACGGTTTGTGAAGCATCAGGCGCGTCTCGGGAGCAGCGTGATGGCGAGAAGACACAGGACATTGTGTCCCTCGACAGGATGGTCATGGGAAGAACCCTCACCAGGAAGTCGGGAGACAGGCCTGCAGCCACGGCCGTGCCGCATACCAGCTCTGTGACCTCAGGAAAGTCACCGAACCTCTCTGGGCTTCACTCACGGCCAAAGCCAGGATTTGGACTCGATGGCGAGCATTTCAGGACAACGGTTCCCTGACCCGAGAGTCACTTTCCAAGTGCCTTGGCCGAGGCCAAGACTGAACGCAAACCACACTGGTGGAGGCAGCAGGACTCGGGTGCCACCCAGCCTGCAGGGGCTGGCCAGCCGTCCCTGGCATCTCTCCGTGGCTGCTGCACCACCGCCCCACCCAGACAGGAAGTGGATCACGCCCTGCGCCACACATGCGTCGGGAGCATGCCCCTTCGGCCTCCGACCCTGTTCCGTGTTGCTGTTTAAAACACCCCCCACACAAGAAAGGTTGACTGTGTCCAGACTGAGGGACAGGCTGCGTCTGCCGCTGAGCGCGGGGTGCCCTGCTGTGTGTGCTCGGCGACACCTGGAAGAACCCTCCAGGTTCCTGGCCCCAGTGGGGGTCACAGTGGAGGAGAACAGGGGGAAGGGAAAGCTGAGCTGTGTGGCTCCCCGTGCTGGTTGCTTAGCAACGCTCCCAGCTCCGAGGGAGAGGTAATGACTCTGGGAGGTGACACAGAGCAGCCCCGTCACCGGACACGCACGCCCACAGAATGACGATGACATGATCACAGCAAGTGGGAGCTCAGAGGGGCTACGTCCACGGCCAAGAGATCGCGAGAGACCACTGGGAGCCAGGCTGCCGGCCAGGACGGGGAAGGGGACACGCGGGTCCTCACGGCACACGGGACTCACCGCTGATCCACTTAGCCTCGGGGTCGTGAACTCGGAGCTCGTCACTGAAGAGATCGTCCACCGTGACCTTCTTCTTCTGAGACAGGCTGTTGTCTTCCACTAGGGGACAGAGGAAGCGAACAGTTACACCTCTGCCTTTCGGTAACTGCGGACATGAGACATTCTGACCGCCATTCAGCATGGTGACCGACACGCGCGGAGCCAAAGCCAGCCACACTTTGTTTTTTTTTTTATCCTCACCCGAGAACATTTTTCCATTTTTTGTTCAGATAGAGCGGGAGGGAGAGAGAGAGAGAGAGAGAGAAACATCAACGTGAAAGGGACACATCGAATCGCTGCCACCCACACGACCCAACCAGGGCCGGGGACAAACTGCAACCAAGGTACATGCCCTTAGTGGGAACCGAACCCGGGTCTCTCTGGACCGCAGGCCGACGCTCTAACCGCTGAGCCAAACCGGCCAGGGCACGCTTTCTGTTTTTAACAAACCGTCAGAAAGGACAGTAAGGGGGTCGGGGCTGGGCAGCAGGGGGCATCCCTAAATGATCCTACACCTCAGGTCTGGACATATGTACTCGTTTCAACACTGACTGCCCTGGCCGGTGGCTCTCAGTTGGCTGGATCATCACCCCGTGCCCCGGAAGGCCGTGGGTTCAATTCCCAGTCGGGGCGCATATGGGAGGCAACCAATCCGATAGATGTTTCTCTCTCACACTGATGATGTTTCTCTCTCCCTTCCTCCCTCTCTAAAATCAATGAAAGATAAACACATGGAAACGAAAGGCTGATTTATGAGCGACACGGCGGGAATGGTCGAAAGGGGAAGGAGCGGACCCCAGGAAAGGCTCTCAGCTGTATCACGTGACCGGTCACCAGGCAAGAATTAAATGCCGACTCTGGGCAGCATGGTGGGCGCCCAGAACTAAAGGACAACAGGCGTAGGTGCTTCTCCTCCATACGCCTCGCTGTCCCCGGCTGTCTACGGCTCGGGGATGAGGTCTCGTTTGGACGGATTCACACCCCAAACGTCTGTGTGCAACCCCGCCAGGTGCTGCCCTGTCCCCCCCGATCCTACGCTTGGGACAAAGCAGCTCGGATGAGCCTCGAAGGCGCTGGACGAAGACCAGCCGAGGGGAGGCGTGTTGTTAGCAGCACCAGCCCAAAGCATCCCAGAGGGAGACCCCGAAATCGACTTGGCGCTCACAGAGCGGCGGGAGCCCGAGCTGGAGGAAGGGCCACGCCCCAACAGTGACCCCGGCAACAGCAGCAGGACCCGTGCCGACATTTGAGACACGCGGGGTCTCTGGAAGGAGTTCCTCGAGGAAGGAGCCCGTGGCCAGGAGACGAAAGAACATTCCGGCTGGGAGGACCGCGGGCCGAGGAGGTCACAGAACTGGGACGTTTCTTGGAGACTGTGGGTGCGTCGGCGACGGCGCAACAGACTGAGCGGAAGGTGTAGAGGTGCAGGCAGGTTCTCACTAGAGTTGATATTCTGAAATTCCGTTAGAAAATGCTTACTGCACGGCTGGTGTGGTTCAGTGGTTGAGCATCGACCCTGCACCAAGAGGTCAGCGGTTCGATTCCCGGTCAGGGCACATGCCCAGGTTGTGGGCCCATCCCCAGTGGGGGGCATGCAGGAGGCAGCCAGTTGATGTTCTCTCTTATTTTTAATTTATCCTCACCCGAGGACATTTTTCCATTTTTTGTTCAGGTAGAGGGAGAGAGAGGAACAGAGAGAGAAACATCGATGCGAAAGGAGCACATCAAGTGGCTGCCACCCGCACGACCAACCAGGGCCGGGGACAAACTGCAACCGACGTACATGCCCTTAGCGGGAACTGAACCCGGGTCTCTCAGGACCGCAGGCCGACGCTCTAACCGCTGAGCCAAACCGGCCAGGGCGATGTTCTCTCTTATTAATGTTTCTATTTCTCTCTCTTAACTCAATAAAAAAAACTATCGACAATGGAATCTACAAACAAAATGAACAAGCAGAACAGAAACATTCTCATAGATACAGAGAACATTGTGTTGGTTGCCAGATGGGAGGGGGGTTGGGGAATGGGGAAAAAAGGTGAAGGGATTAAGAAGTACAAATTGGTTGCTGGACTGACAAACCTCAAAGGGAAGGGGGGTTGGGGATGTGGGAAGAAATAAACCAAAGAACTTATATGCATAACCAATGGACACAGACAACAGTGTGGGAAAAGGCAGGAGGGGGGCGGGAGTGGGGAGGAGGGGGCCAATGGGGGGGGAAATGAGGAACATCTGTAATACATTCAACAATAAAGATAAAAACATTTAAAAATTTAAAAAAATTGAAATGATTGTAAGTGGAATCACTTCTTAATTTCCCTTCTGACTTGCGCAATGCAAGTATATAGTATTAGAAATGATTTCTGTGTCAAGTGTGTCATTTCCAAAGCTGCTAAGCTCCTTTGTTAGTTATTGTAGTATGTGTGTGTGCGCGTGTATGTGCATGTGCGTGCGCGCGTGTGTGCATGTGTGCGCATGTTTGTGCTTGTGTGTGCATGCGTGTGCATGTGTATGTGCACACGCGTGTATTCCTCAAGACTTTTCACAGACAGACAAGATCGTGTCATCTTGTGAATCAAGACAGAGCTCCCTCTTGCCCAGCTAGACGCCACCCTCTGCCTTGCCTTCCTGCCTTGGGTGACATCTCCAACCCAAGGTTAACAGAAACAGTGCGAGTGTCGGTCCTTGTCTATTATTTCTGCTCTGAGGACCGCTGCGGTCAGTGCTGACCAGTAAGTATGGTGTTAGCTGTGGGTTCTTTCGCTAGGTTGGGGAGGTTTCTTTCTATCCCTAGTATGCTGACTGCTTTATTATGACAAGATTTGGGACTTTGTCAAATGTTTATTCTCACCCATTGTAATGATCATTTCCCTCCTTTATTCTATTAACCCAGGTGTATCCCACTGCAGTTTTCGATGTTAAGCCAAGTTTTCTTCCTGGGGATAAATCCCGATCGGTCATGCCGGATCCAGCTCGCTCGTATTCTGCCCAGGTGTTTGCATTCACTGCACCACGAATATCGCTCTCTAGGTTTCTTTTCTTGTGATAACTTGATCCAGCGTGGGTTTCGGGGTCCGGATTACTGGTTTTTCATTTAACTTTTATGATGATAGTGTAAACATACAGCACAATCTGTCTGCCCTTCTGGTACCGATTAAGGTGTTTTTACGTGGGCTAATCCCTGTGCGGGCTATTTATCGAGGACTGGAGCATGTTGTTGTCCACACTAACGGGCGCTCCACACAACAGGAAACACGGATACATAGCTGCACACCGCTTACAGGATGTTTTCCTGTCACAGCTCCGGTAGGGTTCTCTTCCAGGCCAACCGTCTTCGCTCTGGCTTCTCACAGGGCTGCTCAGACCCCTTCCCAGCTGACCTCATCCTCCCCAAGGATTTCTCTCCTCTGAGCTTCTACTCCCCTGACTTCCTTTTTATTTTTAAATAATTTTTTTCCTTTATTGATTTTAGAGAGAAGGAGGGAGAGGGAGAGAGAAACATGGATGAGAGAGAACGTCGGTGGGCCGCCTCCTGCACGCCCCCCACTGGGGATCGGGCCCACAGCCTGGGCATGTGCCCAGCCACGCTGGCCGGACTACACCCCTTACTCTCAAAGCATTCAATGTCCACGTATATACATGTTTTTGCTGCGGGTTTGTGTGTTTTTTTCCTTTCTTGAGCGGCCTCTGACTCTGTCATCCCTCTTCCCTTTCATCAGTGATATCTGATACGCACTGTCCTGAGTCCACACTCCATATGTGTCCTCTTAGTGATTCTAACTCATCCTGGATGGAATACCCAGAATGCTATGTGACACCTAAAATCATTTGAGTTTCCATGCCGCCGCCTGTCTGGAAGCTCACCGAGCATGAGTGAGTCACTGCGGATCCTAACAGACGCCCCACATCCACTGCGGATTCTAACAGACGCCCCACATCCACTGCGGATTCTAACAGACGCCCCACATCCACTGCGGATTCTAACAGATGCCCCACATCCACTGCGGATCCTAACAGACACCCCCACCCACTGCGGATCCTAACAGATGCCCCACATCCACTGCGGATCCTAACAGACGCCCCCCACCCACTGCGGATTCTAACAGATGCCCCACATCCACTGCGGATCCTAACAGACACCCCCACCCACTGCGGATCCTAACAGACGCCCCACACCCACTGCGGATTCTAACAGACACCCCACATCCACTGCGGATTCTAACAGACGCCCCCCACCCACTGCGGATCCTAACAGATTCCCCCCACCACTGCGGATTCTAACAGAGTCCCCACACCCACTGCGGATTCTAACAGACGCCCCCCACCCACTCCAGATTCTAACAGAAGCCCCCCACCCACTGCGGATCCTAACAGACGCCCCCCACCCACTGCGGATCCTAACAGATTCCCCCCACCACTGCGGATTCTAACAGAGTCCCCACACCCACTGCGGATTCTAACAGACGCCCCCCACCCACTGCGGATTCTAACAGACGCCCCCCACCCACTGCGGATCCTAACAGACGCCCCCCACCCACTGCGGATCCTAACAGATTCCCCCCACCACTGCGGATTCTAACAGAGTCCCCACACCCACTGCGGATTCTAACAGACGCCCCCCACCCACTGCGGATTCTAACACATGCCCCTCGGTCCACAATTGCATAAGCAAACCCAAAGCCTGTGCAGTTGCTCCTACTCACTGACAACCTACAACATGGTCTCACCACAGGGCACCCTGAGAATTAGAAGCCGGGAAACTCAGTTAAGTGTCAGGTAGTTAGTTAATTAACAAAACGGGCCAGGTAGATGAGGCGGTTTCTGCCTTAAAGGGACTTGCTGTCCCAAGGGTGAAGACAAGTACCTGGTGTCAACAGGATGACCGAGGTGACGATCAGGGAGCAGATGACCAGGATGACCAGCAGAGCGATGGCGATACCTTTCCAGTTCCTCTGGGGCGGGTTGCTCCCTACCAGCTCCTGCAAACGACAGCACACAGGAAAACTGGGTGAGGGGCGACACGAAGCAAAGCCCGCCAAACCGAGACTTCCCGCTTAAATCCAGACCCGCCACGCGAGACGGAGAACGAGGCGCGGTCTCATCGCTGCAGCTCCGCTGAGCTCTTCCCTCGATGCTCCGTCCTCCGTGCACCGTGGCTAAACCTGGAGAAAGAATCTGCGCTTTTATTACGTTGGCAGCTTTCGTGGGAAATGCATGTTTTTCCACCCGATAAACTAGGTTCTGCGGCGCAGGGTGATAATGGTCAGGGGCTCTCTTCGCCTCAGCCAACCTAGCCACCCGCACAGAATCAGGCGCCAGCATGTTGCATCTTCCAGCCCTGCGTCCTCTCCTGTCTCTCAGGTACATCGCCCCGTCAACGTCAGGCTCCAGATTCGCCCACTTACTTAGCACGTACGACGTGCCCATGTTAATCAACCTCTGCCCACTGCTCTCCAGCATGAGCCCTTCCTTCTGTAGCCCCTCACAGGTGCCCCAGGTGACAGCTGAGTTACCCGTCCTCATGGGGTAACCCACCTGTCCCTACGCTAGGTTTCAGCTCCCGCCAGGGAACCGTATATGCCTTGCAGCAGGGGTTGGGGGTGGGAGGTGGTGTACGGAGAACCTGCAAAACGGATGCTGGATGCTCCGGGCCGAATACGCCGGGGAATTCAACCAGGCACACTGGCTGCTGAGCCCGAATTTTTAGTTCCTTTCACATGGTTGTGATTATGGGACATAGAGGTCAAACTGGGATCCTTTGAGAGACAGACGAAGTAATACTGATCACTAATAGTAAGTTAGAAATATCACAGTGATATATTAGTAGTTATAGTTGTTAATTATACAAGGGGAGCTGGGGTTCTCCAGGGCCAATACAGACAGACAGTCACACTGCAAATGGAGTATTTCTACTTCACACGTCACAAAGTATTCTGTTACAGCCCACGGGTGCAACTTCTTTTAACTCCAAGTCCAAGGGAGAGGACCCCAAAAAGTAGGTAACGCAACACATAAATACTTCTTCACCAAGACGGCCGAGTTCTTGGGGTGCATCACATTACTGCAAATGTACATAAGAACAGCCCTCAACTATGGGGATGGCAAATAATTAATGCCCGACATCCAAAGATTCAACACTGACTATCTAGATAATCAAATTGGGAAAAGCGAGAGTCCGAACAGTCACTGCTGGCTCTTCTAGGTTAGCCAATTAAGAAAAGTTCAACTCTAAACCGCTAACATTTGCCACCCAGGCTGCCGAGTAGCGAGAATTCTGAGAGCCGTTTCAGGCTTGAAAGGAAATAGTTCCGCCGCGGTTTAGCAATTTCTACCAGAGTCCTTACGTGCCAGCCAGAATTTAGTTTATCTATTGAGGAACGGCTTGTTTCGCACTTGAAAATGAGACTCAGCGTGAGCATGGAATCAGGACAAAGTGTTACACAGACAAGCTCACTCCTTGTTGGACTGGTTTTCTCCAGGAGCCTCAGGACCCGCAACTGGGTCCCGCGGATCCGCCGCTTCTCGCCGTGCCCACGCCTGCAGAGAACAAAGCCCCTTTCATCACGTTCGTGAGGAGCGTGTGTCTCCAAGCAGTACCACCCCGACGACCAGCGCCGTGTGGACAGTCCTCACAGAGACGCTGCTCAGGTGAGGTCCCCGCTCCAAAACGCAGTGTGTGAACTCAACACCAGATCTTCAAGATCGGAGAAGGGCACAAGGGTTACGGGCTCCGCCGGCTCGAACGAGGGATCTAGTTGGACTCCTGCTTCCTGGACGTCGGATCCGGAATTCCAAATTCCATTTCAAACACGCCTGTGAGAGGCTGGTCTGCAGAAAAAGTCGAGAAGTTTTGCTTTCGGTTTCTCGGCCCGCCGGGAGTGGGGTAGCCGGGCCCTTGAGATTCCAATGCTCCTGATTGTTCTAGCAGCTAAAAGTGATTTCATTCTTCATTAGGAGAGAGGTATTTATAGCCCTGGACAAAGCGTTGCAGCTGCTGTGCTGGTCACGTATGAAGATTAAGAAAGTGTCTTGGGCATGCGCGGCCGGCTGCCTGGGCAGCGTGTTCCCGGAGAGGCGTTGAAAAGCACACTTTGCTTGAAAGGCTGGAGAAATATAGCTAGTTCAGCACAGAACTGTGAACAATAGCGACAGTCACCGGAGGTTTACATGCTGCCTCGGGTTTTACAGATGACCTTGCTGACGCATGGTCACGAGACACTGGGGAAATCGTGTCCTCACAACAGAACTCTGTGTCCGTGCCGGCAGGAGGACATGACGCCGGGGCGGCAGGAGGACGATGTGGAGAAACGTTACCTGCGGCCGAGGAAGCAGACGCCTCTCTGGGTCCCCCGAGACGCCCCCTCTTACTCCTCAGCTGCATAGAAACGCCCACGTTTGCTTTTCGGGGAGCAGCGTTTGGGGACGCTTGCTCTGCTGGCTTCCAGCCTCGTCCAGATGGAACCCCCTTCCCCTGTCTCTGAACTCCGGCTCTCCAGAGTGTGGCTTCGCCTGCATGTCGGGCACACGCACTTGAATTTTGGGAGGCGACTCTGCCACAGTGTGACTGATTCATGTAAAACTGCTTTTGAACAAATGGCGAGCCCCCCAGCCCTCTGTGCCCTTCCCTGGCCCAACCGCGCCCACAGTACGATGCCCAGGACTAGGCGGGGCAGCACCAGAGATGCTGACAGAGGGTGAGCCCCCACATACAGGGAGGGGGGCAGAGTCGGGCTACAGTTGTTCGTATGGAAACAAAGACAACAATTCACACAGACTAATCCAAGAATGAACTGTTTCGCGGACTCACGCTGCAAACCTACTTGGGCCCCAGCCTGTGTGAGCAGAAGACAGACGTTCACGAAACAGGGCCCGGGAAGGACGGTTCACGGGGGCCTTCGGACTCAAGCACCAAGCACTCAGTGTCCGTGTGTCTGAATTTCACGTGGCGCGGAGACCGATGCCGCGCGGCGCTGCCAGGCAGAATCGTGTACGCAAGCAGCTTGGGAGGTTCTAACTGTTGCACAGACTCGCCTACTGGCCCACTCAAGGGACAGGACCTGGACCGCCGACGCCGTTGCTAACAGAGATACCGCGCACATTCGTCCATTTACAAAGGCAGCACGGTGAGTTACCCACAAGAAAGCTGACACCTTCATCAAATCGCATGTGCGTTTGCTAAAATTCCCTTTTTGACAATGCAGGTAATTTCTTTTTTCCTACACAAGCAATATTGTAACAAGAACAATAGGAGACCAATTAAAGAAGAAAAACAAATCACAACTATCTTGCTAATTTGAGGAAAACAATGTTCTCCTTGTTTTCCAACTTCCTGTCTAGTCCCGGGCTGCACCCCCCTTTACTGTTTACAGGCGAAACAAGAGCAGAGACACAGTTTCTGAGTTTCAGTGCAGATTAATAGGTGTTTCTTGGAACATCTAATTTGCTCCGACTTCCTCATCTTGCAGGAGCTGAATTATTAAAAATCTGAGTAGAAATGACCCTGCTTCCCATGAAGGGCAAAGGAAGTTAATAAATTATCTCCCGAAACGCTGAGCTTCAGTAATGCATTTCTCAGTAGAATTATAGATTTTTGCCTAGAATGGTAAAAACGAGACTGTAATATATTCCCTGTTCTGTTTGGTACCACATACATGCCATAGAAATCCAGTAGAATGGAAAAGCATGCTTACAATATTAACCATTTCTCTAATAAGGTGAACAAATCTTCCATTCATCCATCCATCCTCCATCATCTATGCACCCGTCTATCCATCTGTCCATTCGTCCCTCCATCACTCCATCCTCCATCCTCCATTATCCATCCATCCACCCATCACCTATCTATCCATCCATGCATCCATCCATCCATGCATCCACCATCTACCCATCACCTATCCATTCATTGATCCATCCAACCATCTATCCATCCATCCATCTATCCATCCACCTATCACCTATCCATTCATTGATCCATCCATCCACCTATCACCTATCCATTCATTGATCCATCCAACCATCTATCCATCCATGCATCCATCCATCCATCCATCCATCCACCTATCACCTATCCATTCATTGATCCATCCATCCAACCATCCATCCATCCATCCATCCATCCACCTATCACCTATCCATTCATTGATCCATCCATCCAACCATCCATCCATCCATCTATCCATCTATCCATCCATCCACCTATCACCTATCCATTCATTGATCCATTCAACCATCTATCCATCCATGAATCCATCCATCCATCCACCTATCACCTATCCATTCATTGATCCATCCATCCACCTATCACCTATTCATTCATTGATCCATCCATCCATCCATCCATCCACCTATCACCTAACCATTCATTGATCCATCCACCCTCCACCCACCCATCACCTATCCATTCATTCATTGATCCATCCATCTATCCACCAACACATCCATCCTTCATCATCCATCTTCCTCCCTTCCTTCCCTCCCTCCCTCTCACAGTTACCCAGGGCTTACTCTTCCGGCCCCTGTTCTGAGAACCTCGGGTACCACAGTGAAAAATAAAAGGCAACAACACCGTTATCAACCCAACAAGCTGAACGGCTCCCATGTTTTCTATATTCCTTTTTCATGTCAGGGCAGGGAGGAGAGGACAGGTAGTAAACAGGTAAATGCATGAAGAGAAGAAGGACGAAGCCACGAGAGGGGTCCCGTCGTGGGTCAGGGGGTCAGAGAGCTCCCCTGATACAGTGCCACCTGACCAGCCACTGAGCTGCGGCTGGGGGAAGGCACCTCAGCTGCTCTAGACCCAGCCGGGTCCCCCCCTATTCACACATGAGGCTCTAACACGAGGCAGTGGTCTTTGGAGACTGCGTTTGGGAGGAGATTAGGGTTAGGTTAGTGCCCTTGTAAGAGAAGACACCAGAGAGCGTGTGTTCTCTTTCTCTGCCTGTGGTGGTGGTAAGTGGTTGATCCCGGCACCTTACAGACA